AAGGGAGAATCAACAGATTTGGGAGAGGAGAAGCAGCACGTGGGAGGCGGGCCATCAGAGATGACTCAGAGCTCAAATGGGGGGCCTGGAGGAACTGCGTAGTGTGAGCAGATAGAGAGAAGTCAGGAGGGAAAGACAGCTTGCGAGTTTAATTTCAGATTTGGCTTTGAAGGGGTGGTAAGAAGTCTAAGGGAAAAGTCCATCAGCTACTTGGATACATGGATGTATGGGGAAAAAGGTCTGGGGGAGGGACAAAGCCAAGAAATATATATTTGGGTGTACTGTGATACAGGGAGTTTCTGAAAGGGCGTTTTAAAGTTCAATTTTTGAAGCATAACAATAGAGAGCTAAGTACATATTATACTATCTTTGTATTTTGTGAGGCACTGCCTCTCAAAGGATCCACGCAATGTTGGAACTGGATCAGAACCTGTTAAATGAGCACCTGACAGCAGACATCCTGGGGCCCTGAGGAAGCTGATTCAAGCCTTGCCCTTTTGTGCCTTCAGACCAGACTCTCCTTGGACTTTGAAACTCCAAGCCAGGGTGATGTGGAGGAAAGGACCCATCTCTACTAGCCATCTTGCCTCTGGAGGTGTGGCTCTGATTTAGTCTCCCTGGGTTGGTTGACTCTGCACCATCTGTTGCTGGGGAATGGCTGGAGGTAGAGGGGAGGAGGGACTGCAATATGAGACAGAGGAGGCAGTTGGAATGGCCAGGGGACTCCTGCCAAGATGGAGGCCCCACTTGTGAGGGTCAGTTTCAGAGCCCTTGGCTTTTGAAGTCAGGGAGTTCTGAGGGGGAAGCAGGGGAGGGGGACATGACTGAGGGCCCTCCCAGTGGGGAGCAGAGACATGGTTTCCTAGGCTTTAGCTCTGCCCTCACAGGCTTCCACTGAGCACATTCCCCACAGGTACAGCTCCTTCCCCTGCACCCAGAAGCAGGAAGCGGGCCAGCTGATGCATTAACGATTACATTCCAGGTAATGAGAGCTGGTTTAATGTATAATGAATAAGAGTGCAGAGCCTGGATTGCCTGAAAGTCCAATTTATACATGACTTTGCATAGACAAAGTTCTGTACTTCAATGAGGAAATAACCTTAAACAAAGAGGACCCAGAACTAAACTCTGGGGACAGTTGCATTTGGGAGCCAGTGACGGAAAATAAGTAGTAGAATGGAAAATAAGAAGGCTGCAAGTTAGTTTTATCATGGTGTGGAAGTCTGATCTAAGACTATCATCTAGAGGGAAAAAAGGAACAGTTTCAAGCAGAACTATAATCTTCTATCATAGCTAGATATCTAGTTATACCATAGGGTGGCATTTTTCAAACTCAGTACTACTGATCTTTAGGCTGGAGAAGTCTTTGTTGTGAGAGGTCGTCTTGTGGATCGTAGGATGTTCAGCAGCATCCTTGACCTCTACTTACTGGATCCCAACAGCAGTCCCTCACCCACCACTGCCCTCCAACTGCAACTATAACAAAAATTAAAAAAAAAATTGTCTCCAGATATTGCCAAATGTCCCTGAAGAAGAAAAATGACCTCTCATTCAGAACCACTGGTGTAAAGGATTTTACGGCATCTGTGATAAAAATCTTCCTGTGCTTCACATTCCTGTTTTAGGAGAATGACAAAAGAAACCTTTTGGATTTGAATTTGGCATTCATAATCTAACATTTCTTATTGGCTTCAAAGTTTAGCCTATCTCAGTCAATCTGAGGAAAATTAGAAGGCCACAATATCAAGTACATTAAAACTATTTTTCCTGTGGGAAAATCAGAGTTTAAAGTTGGGGACAAGAGCACTATTCATGGGATCTGGTTTCCCATCACACTTATCCTGGGCAGCTTTTAAAGAGAAAGCACGAGGTCATCAGATTTAGGAGGGAAGACTGGAGGCTGCCCTCCCACACGTGATCTTGAAGCCCTAGGCATGTGCCTCCAGCCCTGTTCCCTCATCTGTAAGACTGAGGTAAAGAGAAGTACATAGGAGGCACTGGATGGGAGAGGCCTTGTAGATAGGGAAGTGTGGGTGTGTCATTTTGATGGTTTGAACTAATATTATTAAGTTTCTTTTTTTCCTTCATGAGTCAGGAGAATGAATTGTTGAGAAGAGAACTATGGAGAACATAATTAATGTTTAATGTTCTAAATAGAACCTATAAGCTTATAATGGGGGATGGAGGATGGGGGTAAAGAGGGACCAACATGTACCAGGTGCCTGATATGAGCTGAGTGCTGGGCTAGGAAGTGTGCAATAGGCCAGTAAAAAAGAAAAAGAAAAACAAGAGACAAATGAGATGAAGCAGACAGGAGTTGGTGAACAAGAACTGATGGGACCAGTCTGGACAATGGAAAGATCTGAGTGCACAGTGAGGAGAAGGGAAATACAAAGGCGACTTTTGGGATGGGAATACCTTAGAAATCAACTATGGAAATAATAATGGAGAAAAACACCCAACTGCAGAATTTCTAACTTCTTGAATTCAAGAGTATAATGCATATACATTTTCACAATTATCTGCTATTGGGTTAAAAAAAAAAAGGAAAACTACACGAAGTATTTTACCTAAATACTATATTCAGGAAGAGTTAATTTTGATGTAACTTATTTACCAATTCTAGTTTTCTGATGTAATCTCTTCTTTTAAAAATGCAATAATTTAAACAATTTTTAAAAACCCTTAAAGTAAAAAAGAGATTATATATTGCTATGGCACAATTTTGAAAATACAGCTACAAATTTTAGGATTGTTTGCTCCAGCTCTTTGAAAAATACCGGTGGAATTTTGATTGGAATGACATCGAAAGTATAGATTGCTCTAGGCAGTATAGACATTTTAACAATGTTTATTCTTCTGATCCATGAGCATGGAATGGTTTTCCATCTTTTTGTGTCTTCTTCAATTTCTTTCATGAGTGTTCTGTAGTTCCTTGAGTACAGATCCTTTACCTCTTTGGTTAGGTTTATTCCCAAGTATCTTATGGGTCTTGGTGCTATAGTAAATGGAATCAATTCTCTAATTTCCCTTTCTGTATTTTCATTGTTAGTGCATAAGAAAGCAACTGATTTCTGTACATTGACTTTGTATCCTGCCACGTTACTAAACTGCTGTATGAGTTCTAGTAGTTTGAGGGTGGAGTCTTTTGGGTTTTCCATATAAAGTATCATATCATCTGTGAATAGAGAGTTTGAATTCTTCATTGCCAATTTGAATACCTTTTATTTCTCTTTGTGGTCTGATTGCTGTTGCTAGGACTTCTAACACTATGTTGAACAAGAGTGGTGAGAGAGGGCATCCTTGTCATGTTTCTGATCTCAAAGGGAAGGCTGTCAGCTTTTCCCCATTGAGAATGATATTCACTGTGGGTTTTTCATAGCGCCAGAGCAAACAATCCTAAAATTTGTATGGAATCAGAAGAGACCCCAAATTTCTAAGGAAATGTTGAAAAAGGAAAAACAAAACTGGAGACATCATGTTGCCTGATTTCAAGTTTTACTACAAAGCTGTGATCACCAAGACAGCACGGTACTGGCACAAAAACAGACACATAGACTAGTGGAACAGAATAGAGAGCCCAGATATGGACCCTCAACTTTATGGTCAACTAATCTTTGACAAAGCAGGAAAAATATACAGTGGAAAAAAGACAGTCTTCAATAAATGGTGCTGGGAAAATTGGACAGCTATGTGTAGAAAGAAACTCAACCATTCTCTTACACCGTACACAAAGATAAACTCAAAATGGATAAAAGACCTCAACATGAGGCAGGAATCTATCAAAATCCTAGAGGAGAACATAGGCAGTAACCTCTTAGAGCCACAGCAACTTCTTTTAAGACATGTCTCCAAAGGCAAAGGAAACAAAGGTGAAAATGAACTTTTGGGACTTCATCAAGATCAAAAGCTTCTGCACAGCAAAGGAAATAGTCAACAAAACAAAGAGGCAATCCACGGAATGGGAGAAGATATTCGCAAATGACAATACAGACAAAGGGCTGATTTCCAGGATTTACAAAGAACACCTCAAACTCAACACACACAAAACAGATAATCATGTTAAAAAATGGGCAGAATACATGAACAGACACTTTTCCAAAGAAGACATACAAATGGCTAACAGACACATGAAAAAATGTTCATCATCACTAGCCATCAGGGAGATTCAAATTAAAACCACATTGAGATACCACCTTACACCAGTTAGAATGTCCCAAATTAACAAGACAGTACACAATGTGTGTCGGAGACGATGTGGAGAAAGGGGAACCCTCTTACACTGTTGGTGGGAATGCAAGTTGGTGCAGCCACTTTGGAAAACAGTGTGGATATTCCTTAAGAAATTAAAAATAGAGCTTCCCTATGACCCTGCAATTTCACTACTGGGTATTTACCCCCAAAATACAGATGTAGTGAAAAGAAGGGCCATCTGTACCCCAATGTTCATAGCAGCAATGGCCACGGTTGCCAAAATGTGGAAAGAAGCAAGATGCCCTTCCACAGATGAATGGATAAGGAAGATGTGGTCCATATATACTATGGAGTATTATGTGTCCATCAGAAAGGATGAATACCCAACTTTTTTATCAAGATGGATGGGACTGGAAGAGATTATGCTGAGTGAAATAAATCAAGCAGAGAGTCGATTATCATATGGTTTTGCTTATTTGTGGAGCATAAGGAATAACACGGAGGACATGAGGAGATGGAGAGGAGAAGGGAGTTGGGGGAAATCGGAGGGGAGACATGAGAGACTATGGACTCTGAAAAATAATCTGAGGGTTTTGGAGGGGCGGGGGGTTGGGATGTTGGGTTAGCCCAGTGGTGGGTATTAAGGAGGGCACGTATTGCATGGAGCACTGGGTGTGGTGCATAAACAATGAATTCTGGAACACTGCAAAGAAATTAAAAAATAAATAAAAATTTTAAAAACCCACAACAATAAAAAAGTGCTAGTGTGAAAAAAAAATACAGCTAGTAAATGCTGAATCTCATACTTGCTATGGCAACATGTACACTAACATTGGAATGATACAGTGAAGATTGGCATGGCCCTTGCTCAAGGATGACACACAAATTCGTGAAGTATTCCATATTAAACAAATAAAGTAAAAAATAAATAAATTCTGACTCTCAAATGAGTAAAATAAAGTACTGAATGATAAGGTGGCCGCTATTGTCAAACGTTAACGGCTCATGGCCTTGAACTTAAAAAAAAAAAGAATTGAGTTGACTAGGATATTTGATCTTAAATGTTTAATAATTACCCAAAGAAAATCTAATATTATACTTATGTTTTTAAATATTCCCTGACATTTTCAAATAGCTTCATCATCATAAGCATTTATCTTCTATAGATACCAACTTTAAAATACATCTGAATTCCTTAACACCTCCTCATCATAATACCTGTAACTATCAGTTGTCACATAGTGTCAGTTAAGATATTAACTGATATTAATTGTCTTTGGAAAATGCTTCACAGTGCCTTATTGTGATGAAATGTGTTATTCTGAATTCGAGGCTTGTTGTGTACTGATAAGCTGCATGTCTACAGGATATAAATATAATAAATATAACATATTTTCCCCCAGTAGAGCTATAATTTCAAGGAAAAGAAAGGAACTTGAGTCAGAAGAATTAGCAAAATTAGGTAAGAAAAAAAGTCAAACTGCATGTCAGACCGATCTCCGTTTTCTTCCCCCAGCCGTCTCCAGTGCTCCTGGAGCTGTGGGTAGCAATTTGAAAAATGTGCTTTGTTGGGTGAGATACACTACATCCCCTTCCTGCTCGAGGATGTTATTCCACTCCCATTTCTTTCACATAATTCACTTCTCTTCAATAATTCCACAGGCCTGCCTGATCCTTCTTTCAGTGCTTTACAGTGCAACCACTCACGACTCAAAGCTGGGAAGGAGAGGTGTCTCCAACACACAGGTCATGTCCATTCTCTTCTTGAGGAACAATAGCAGGTTGTTTTGTGAAATCACACAGCAGGGTTTTCAGAAAAGCAGGGGGAACTAAAGAAGAGCACACAGATGAGACATCTGCAGTCGTTTCTCTCCTTGTGTTCTTTTAAGCTACAGCAATGTTACCTCCCAGACCATGTTTCTCTATCTACTTCTGCAGTCTCTGGAAATGTCAGGGTAGGGGGATCGGTGAGGCAGCAGGTGTGGGGTGGGATGCGGGGGCGTGGCAGGTGCAATGCAGTTTTAAAGAGGTGTTTGGTATATTTTTTTGGAGATCTCCCCAAACTGTCTCGATGATAAATTTGGCTTCCATTTTGAAGAATAAAAACTGAACACGTTACTGCTATGTATAACAGTACAAGTTTTCCATGCCCTTTTCCACCTTCCTAAAATAGAGTACTTCAATATTAGCACAGTGGAAGCAGTGGGAAAAAATATAGACCAGAAGATTTTTAAAGATTCTTTTGCATGCCTCAATAGGGGCACTGCATTCTGCTCTTGACACAAAACAAAACTATCCAAAGTACTCTCAGAGCAAGATTTTAGAGAATTAAAAAAAAAAAAAAAGGATAACACTATATTAGCAGAAGTTTCCAACTATTAGGAAAGTAAAAAGATACTGATTGTATGATCATATGCAATGGCCATTTCTCTTTGGGATTTGGGGCTCCACATGGCTTAACTGGAAGGGAGAAAACTGCTTTCTTCATTCTCAAGACTGTATGGGATTGATTCAAGGAGGATGTTGAAGCAAACTCTTCCTTCTAGAGAATGTAATGCAATGTAACATATACAGCAAATTCCTCTTTGGGGATCAACTGTATGTACAGGCTGTGAACTGATCTTTAAGTTTGAGGGTCTAGTTCTAGAGAGACCCTTGAAAAAATAATAAAAATATTATTTTACATTTCTATAGTATGTATTATTTAACTCCCCCCACCCCAGTCTAGTGTTCTGCTCATGTTCTAGAAACTGACCACATCACACTGGGCATATAAGTTTGTGTTTTATTGGCTTAAGGAATGAGACAGTATAATAAAGATTATACATGTATATATAATGAAAAGCAATTATTTCCTGAAAAGCCATAATACACTCTATATCTTAGGGAGACCTAGCCGAAGAAAGCTCCTAGAGTTTTTTTTTTTCTTAAGATTTTATTTATTTACTTGAGAGAGACAGCAAAAGTGAGAGAGAGAGAGAGAGAAAAGGAGAGAGAGAGAGACTGAGAGAATGTATGGGGGGAGGGGCAGAGAAAGAAGCAGACTCTCCACTGAGCAGAGAGCCCAATGATGGGCTCAACCCCAGGACCCTGAGATCATGACCTGAGCCGAAGGCAGATGCTTAAACTACTGAGCCACTGAGGCACCCTAAGCCCCTACAGTTTCTTACAGGTGTTCAACACAGGGCACATCTCCCTGCGGGTCTACTCTAATGTCAGTGACTAGCAGCTCTGAAATAGTGAATGTGAAAGTTAGAATCACTTATTCTCCTATAACAAAAGAGATAAATGTCACATCCCCATCCCAGCTTATGTCCACAGTTAGCTCAAAGGAGATATAAGACTGTTCCAAAAGCGATTTGACTTGTAAGTGTTGGGAAGGAAGGAGCCATGTGAGAAAATTGTCAAAAGAAAGTTTTGTGGAGGCATAAAAATAAAGGTCTTCTCATCACAGCCCAGATTGTAGAACCAAGTGTATTCACACACTCTTGTAAGTGGGTTTGGCCAAACTTTGGAACCATGTAACTAAGCTCTAAATGAATGGGGAATGACCTTTGGTAGAGTTCTTAAGGTCTGACAAGACAATAATTAGGAGAGTTTGGAAGTTAAAGTAAACCACAGCCTAGCTCTGTGTCATCTCTGTTGTTCGTCCAGGCATTATAAAAATGGGCAAGCCAGAGAGCCAACAGATGTCATTAGCCTAGTTCTTGGCAAGCACTTATCAGGCAAAGAATATAAACTGAGTTTAGCCGCCAACCTCCCCCACCCCCCCGCCCCAGGGAGGCATTTCATTTGTCAGCAATTTCTTTCTGCCAGACCACAAATCAACAATTGCTAGATAAATGAAACACTTCCATTCAACTTACAAACTCTTGGGCAAACTATTTATTTTCTAGAAATAAAAATTCCTTTTTTATAGCACAAGGTATAAATGGTCCCAGTGGGTTCCACTAAAGCAATCAAATGCCAGATCCATAAATCTTATAGACCCTTATGGAAAACGGAAGTGGCTCTGTTAGACATCACATTGAATGATGCTATAGATTCACAGAATAAAAAATGGTAGAATAGCACATGCTAATAGGCCTGTGACAGACTGAACCCATTGCTGTGGTAATGGTAAGGGAAATTCAGCGTAACAATTGCTTAAGATATATTTTATGAAGACAATATTTGTTTTGAAGGCTTTGGGTTATACATTTTTTGATTTATGCTGCTGTGGAATTCGACATTGGATATACCATTATTATAATGATCAGGAGACATTCAAATGTGGAAAGAAATCTGACTGTGGTCTAAAATATAGTCCAGGCTTTCTGTTTCTCTGTGTCTTCCCTTCACACTTATTCCTTCCTGCTGTGTGTGTATGTGTGTGTGTGTGTGTGTGTGTGTGTGTGCATGCTTTGTTAAAGCCCCTCTCTGCTTCTTTTATCTTGTCCTTACCATGCATCTGACTGTCCTGTATTTTTACTTCATCCTTTGTGTTTGCATGAGATCTTTCCAGCTTCTAGAAGACTAGTTAGTATTTGTATACATTGTATTTAAAAGAATGAGAACATAAGGAATGGTGATTCCGTAAGCAGCATTACAAAGAGGTTTCTCAATTTATTCTTTGCCTGTACCATACCAAATGGAATCCAATCTGGTAGCTTCCTTGAGGTTTATGATAAAATCTCAGGGTAGTGCTTCACTCCCATATGCTGAAATATAAAACTGGGTATAAAACTAATATAAATAAATAAATAAATAAATGGGTAGGTAGGTAGGTAGGTATAATCTCTGAGGTCATTTCTGGTCTTTGGGTCTGTGATTCTAAGTGGGTATAATAATACTCATAATAGTTTTTATAATTTTGCTTTTTTTAAAATAATAAAATGAAAGCTCAATCTATAAGGCATATTAATTCTTTCAAAAAGTGTTCCTTGGAGTTTGTAAGAAAAAAGAACATTTTCCTCTTAAGAGCATATGAATTTTGTGGTGCCAGCAATAGAACAAAAATACGATTGCCCCTTACACCAAGGTCCTTTACACAGCATGGAATTTCCACAGTTATATTCGGGTAAATGGCCTTTCGGTTTCCCTAGGCAGGCCCAGGCAGAAGTCATGAATCAAGGACTAAAAGGTGCTGTTTCTATCAAGACTACCGTTTCCAAAATGATTATTTTCATAATTTTCCAGATTCTGGATTTCTTTCTGTGTATTAGTAACAGGTGACACAACACAGTGGGAATAAGAATCACTAGGGAAAAGAGGAGAAACACGTCTTAAGCCACACGAGGGGATTTGCAGTCAGCCTCCAAACGAGAGCCCCCCAGCACCCCGGGCAGCACAGTGGGAGAATCCGGGAAAGGAATTTTGCCAAGACAAGCCAAGACAGTAACGATCTCTGTAAATGCTTACTAGTTCTTCTGCGCTCCCCAAGTAGTAGTAGTCCAGCCTGGGACAAAGAGACACCATTATGTCCTGATTGGTTCTTCATCAAGTTGGGGCGGGGGGGACTTGTATTTGCTCCAGGAATGGTTAAAACCTTTTGGCAGAACTTCTGCTGTGATGGTTACTTTTCTGTGTCACCTTGGCTGGTTGACAGAGCCCAGTGTTTTTGTCGAACGCTAGTCTAGATGCTGTGAAGGTTTTTTTAGCTGTGATCAACATTTGCAGTCAGTTGAATTTAAGTAAAGCATGACATGCATGGCCCTCATCCTCTCATTTGAAGGCTTAAGAGCAATGACAGGCTTCCCCAAAGTGATTGTACCTCAATACTACAACATGGAAACCTGCCTCAGTTTCCCACCTCCTGGCCTGCCCCGAAGATTTCAGACATAAAACTGCAATTTTTACCTGAACTACAGTTTCGTCAGCTCCGCAACTATGTGAACCAATACCTCACTCTCTGTCTCTCTGTCTCTCTG